TTATTTAAAATATTTATATAGCTGCCCATGTTCTAACCAACTCTGGGTGGCACCCAAACAAAAGTTAAAACAACATGTGAAATCATATTAAACTATAAAGGTAAACATTTCATAAAATTTATATACAATTTCGTAACTAGATCAATGGTAAGTAGGCAAAAATTAAAAATTTGTCACATTCCTTTGGTGCCCCCTACTGGATTCAGAATTAAGAGCCCATGAAAGCTTATGTGCATTTTATTTAATATTCTTCCTTTTTAATACTCAAAAATGATAATTAATGAAAGAAAGTTTATGTGCTCTGAGAAAATGGTGTAAGTTTTAAACTGTAACATAGATAACAGGGCAAAATTCCCCAGAAGGCAAACCCTTTTCCGAAAGTCAAACACCTTTCAGGTCAGTTTTGTCTCCTGGAAACTGGCAGGGGTTTTTTGGGCAAGATTTCCAGAGGTAGTTTGCTCTTGCTTTCTCCCTAGGACTGGGAGAGAGTGACTGCTTCAAAGTCATCTAACTGGCCTGATGCCTAAGAGTCAGGATTCGAACTCGTCTCTTCATTTCTGAGTTCTTAAGCTTTACACCAAAGTGACGCTCAGAATGAAAATAGGTCATAAAATATAGAATTGGAAGGAGTTACTCAAAGTCGAGTCTAATCTTTTGGCATGGCTATACAGCATCTGCTAGATATCCAATAAAAGGGAGAGAAACCCCCACCCACCCATGTCTATAGGCCAGTGATGGCTAACCTTTTTGCCACCACGTGCCAATAGCTGAGGGGAGCGGGGGGTGTCATGCACGGACGTGCCCACACCCATAATTTTATGCGCCCTCCCCCGTGCATGAGCGCGCGACCCGAAGCCTCCGGAGAGCAAAAAACGGCCCAACGCGCAAACTGGAAGTTCAGGAATGGACTTCCGGTTTCCGTGTTGGGCAGATTTTCGCTCTTCAGAGGCGAAAAACTGCCAAAAATCAGCTGGACAGCGTGTGCATGCGCACTGTAGCTGAAAGGGCAATGTTTCACGTGTCCTCCGAAATGGCTCCGGGTGCCACCTCTGGCATGTATACCATGGGTTCACCATCCCAGCTATAGGCAATTGTCCCCATCATCAAATTGCTCTTCCTATTAGTTTTCCAATCCTGTATTATACACAGTCCATGTTTAGCAACTGCCTTGTGCAAAAACTATTTGCCATTAGAACTGATCAAAAAGTAATTTTATCACTAGTCCTTGAATGTTTGACCTCCATAAGTCTGTACGGTAGAGGAAAGCTAAAATGAGATGCTGACCAGCGTCATGAGTGACCACTTCACTTAATTGCTGGTCCCACTGTGGTCATTAAAGAAGGAGAACCTTTGTAATCCCACTGTTGCTTCACTCTGGGCTTTCATCTGTGACACTCAAATACTGAGTGTCAAATGCTAAGACTTCAAGTCATTTGTAATAGTTAATTAAAGCCCTCCTCATGGAATTGAAAAGTTTTTAACTTTAATTTCTCATTCAACGTTAGTATAAACCTGGGGCTTGCAATGGTCAACTTCACCTGTATGTTAAAAGTGACACACCACATTTTGGGTGGCATGCCAAGGTTCCCCAACACCCAACAACTATTCTTGAGAGCAGGCCTGGTTCTCATGTGACTTTTGGAGGTTGGGGAAGCCATACAAGAATGGGACATGCCCACTATAAATGGATATGAAGGATGGAAAAAATAGACTTTGAATGACTGTACTACTAAATATGTATAAAAATATGAATAACAGTGGAACTTAAGGGACAATTAGGGGAATATATATAAATATATACCGTGTTTCCCTGAAAATAAGACAGGGTCTTATTTTCTTTTGACCCCCGAAATAAGCACCTGGTCTTATTTTCAGGGAAACACGGTATATATTTATATATATTCCCCTAATTGTCCCTTAAGTCCCACTGTTATTCATATTTTTATACATATTTAGTAGTACA